TCGGAGGCTTTTGTTATATCGAAATATAGTACAATTACTAGTTCTCTGTTGTCCCTACTTCGTGTAACTTCATTGAAAAAGTCTATGTGACAGGTCACACATGATCTTTTTTTAAGAAATCCGTGTTGTGATGGACTGATAAGTTCATGTTCTAGTAAGTTGTCTGACACTTGGTCTTTGACCACTTTCTCCATTATTCGGGATATTACCGGTGTTATATTGATAGGTCGATAGTTGCATACACTGGTTTTGGCCCCTGCTTTGTGCTTAGGTAATATGTATGTGTGTCGATGAACGTGAACATTGAACGTTTGTTTTATTGGGTCTGGCAGCCATTAATGGGCAACTGAAAGGCGCGAATGGTCGATCGCTTGCACGTTGAAGGAAGACTGGAGTTAAATACGAATAAAAGTACTTTATAACTTCATTTGTACTTAACGTTTGTTTGTAGACTTTGTAGTTTTCTTCAATTTAATTGTCAAACAATATAATTTCGTTCAAGGAATACTGGTGTTTTGGATCTAAAGTTGGAAAACGTACATAGTATTTATCGGCTCAATCGCTTAAGTCTTCATTACAAAAGGAACTTAGGGCTAAGTTCCTTGACAGTTTTTATTCTTCTCTACGTCATCGTGGGCGCCTTCTGGAAATCGTCTGGGTGTACTTACTAGATCTGCAGCCAGCTTGCCTTTGGACAAGGATTATCAACGCAATTTGGATTCTTTGGTGACGTTGGATAATGCCTGGGTCAAGAAAGGGATGTGGCACCATGGAAGCAGACAAAAAAGTAAGTAACGATGAGTTGCCTGTTAATTGTAGTGATATGTATGATGCTCAGCATGTTGAGTTTGTTGTTCACGCTTCACCGTTAAGGGATAGTAAGGGTTTAAGATTGCCTAAGTTTGAACCGCGATACTTCGATGGAAACCCAGCCGACTACCCACAGTTCATCAAAGAGTTTGAGGTCATGCTGAGTGGTTTTGTATTGAATGATGAAATGAAGTTAATGTATTTGTTGAGATATTGCACTGGTGTGGCTGCAAGAGCCATACGGTGCTGTAAGTTTATGCCCCCGAACGAAGGATATGCTGAGGCAATGAAGATACTACGTCAAAGGTTTGGAAAACCATATATGATATCCCGTAGTATTTTCGAAAAAGTGAAAGGTAACGGATCACAGTTGAATGATAATCCAGAGGAAATTGCAGAGTTCTTGGATAATTTGATGGTATATAGAAATACACGCATGTCTTTTAACTGTGTAGGTGAATTGAACTCAAGTTCCGTGCTTGAAACTGTTGCCAAGAGATTACCTGTCCGTCTACAAAGGAAGTTTATAAAGGTTTGTTCACGTCTAGAGGAGGAGGGTTTAGAGCCCGGGTTGGATGACATTGTGAGCCTGGTGAAAGACAGTGTCAGCCAAGCTTTGAGCAAGTTTGCTAGTATACTACTCCCCTCCCCTGGAATAGAGAAATCAGAGAGTAAAATGCAATCGTTTATGACGAAGGGGTCTCAGCGTAGTGGATATCGAGAAAGCTGTATGGTGTCTAGTAAACCTAATGATTGTGACAGCTTTAGTGAGACGACCCCAACGAATAAGTTACAAGCTGCAAGACAAACACGGTTGTGCTTCGTCCGTTTGCAAGAAGTGCATACAAAGGCGAACTGTGAAGCAATGAGCAAGTTTAGTGGTAAGCTTAATGTGAAGTCAGCGTCATCGTGTTCTGACTCCGAATCGTGTATCGATAATGGTGCGGTGAAGAAGCCTGTAGTCGTAACTGGTAATCCATTGTTGAAAGGAGTGGCTCAGACGACACCGCAATTCGTGCATAAGAAGAAGGTTACAGTTTCAGTGTCCAGTTCCGACTCCACAAGTTTTCAAGGTATTACTAGTCAGAGTAAAGGTATAAAACCTCTCTGGATTCATGAGGAAGTACCTAAGTCATCTGCGGCTGTTATTAAAGAGGTTGAAAATGATGAAGTCAACCATACAAACAGCGGTAAAGTGGGTATTTGTGACAATGGTCACGATAGTTCACATTTGTCTGTGGCTGATCATGATGAAATTAGCGGAATGCCCACTACTACTGAGTTGAACGAAGGTTCTGTACAGCTTGAAAGTGAAGTAGAATTAAAGGCAGATGCGGTTGTTGTAGATGTGAATAATCGTGAGATCGTCAGTGTAAATGATCCGAGTGTAGCCCAACTATCGACAGATGTTAAAGCTGAACTGGAGCCAATAATAAAAGATAGCAGTGGTGGTAATCCTGTGGTTAGACAACCTCCTAAAGGTCTAACAACAACAGCTTCTTATACACCACTAAGTTCTTCAACTGGTGTCAGTCAGTCGTCGTTGGTGTTGTCATATGCAGTAAAAGAGCCGTCCATGAATCAACGTGTCTTATGCAGTGATTATGCTAGTGTCGGTCTGTTCGAAGGGACGAAAGTCAATGGCCAGTTTGGTGACGATAAGCCAACTGTGTACAAGGTGGTAACTGTTAGACTGACTTGTACGAATAAAGGCATTTCAGGTTTCAAACTACTATTTGAATGTTATTATCTTTGGTGCAAATTACTCTGTACCTTCGCTTGGTTGGTCAGATACGTCGTATGCTTGTTAGTCATCTACCTTCCACGATACAATGTCATGGGCGTGTTACCATTCAGAGTCGAGGATATAGATGATGGAAGGAGGACAGCAAATGAGCTCAACGACGATTTTCCAACTTAAGGGCGTAAACCTGAGAAGGGTTGTAGGCGTACTGCTGTAAGTCCTACAATTCTTCAAGGGTAGTACGTCGAAGAGCAGTCCATCGTACTTGGTGTATTATTTTGTACATGTGTTCATGTTGTATATAATGAATTGGTATCATCCCTCTTCTATCTGGTGATTAATTTTGTTTGTGTCCGAACGTCTTCCACTTGGATCGTCAACCTGAGAAGGAATGTAGGCGTACTGCTGTAAGTCCTACAGTTCTTCAAGAGTAGCTCATCAAGGCAGAATCCCCAACATTTGATATACTGATTGTACATATGTTTGTGTTGAGTAATTCAGTGGGTTCCGATTCATCTGATTGTCGATTAATTTTATAGTTCTCGCATTGTGTGAATCATCTTGTAATGTTTTTGTAAGTACTTCTGAATTCTCTTCTAAACTTGTGAACGAATCGAGTAGTGTTTGAGTCAGCATACGCGATTGGATACGCCGGGAAGAGGATTGGGTTAGAGTGGAATGAAGCAATCGATACTTTGTGAACGAGATCAGTGGTGGTATTGTCGTCAGAGAGCGTAGATCCCATGCACCTGGGAGAGCGTGTCGGTGTGATATATATATATTTATTCCTGTTTATGCAGGAACATACCAATTGTACAGGCATGGATAAGTTATTATATAAATTATAGATTGTTTGTTCAATCTAACATTAGAGTCAGTCAGAAGAGTCTGCAAAATAGTCTGTCTGTGTAACACACAAAGAGATATAGAAATATTGTCTTCGAATTAACAAAAAACCCAGACTTCAGATGAATGTGATACAAATATCTGGGAAAAATAAAGCTTGAAGTCAATTCTCCTATATAACTTTGTTGTGAACAGCATCCTTGAGATAAAGTTTATTGATGTATTATTTTGAGTCAATAATGTATTTATTCCATTTTTGTCAGCAGTCTTATCGTAGTTTTATAATAGGAAAGAAATTTGATACGAAAATTAGATAAGGTAATGTTAGATTGTTTTACTGCATCAAATGGGGTCAATTCTAGAACTATCCATTTGCGCCATTTGCGTCAGCATGGCAGACTGTACATGTAAGTTGAGTAATACATTGAAACTGCTTGAAAACCATTTGTTTCTTTATATCAGATCAAGAATACTCCTTGTACAGAATGTTAGCCAGCGTTTTCAAGTGGTTGCATCGGATCGTTCATGGAATTTGAGTTTGAATTTACATAAATGGTCATTTCAGTTTAACCCAGCTAGCATTTTCTTCGGGGGCACTGCAGACTTTTCGGGGCAAAAAATTTTGGGCAGATTGCCGTTTTTGAGAATTCGCCCCGAAGACTGCCCCAAAAAGTCTTCAATGCACCCGAAGTCTGCCCCGAAAAGTCTGCTATGCGCCCTAAGTCTGCCCCGAAATGTCTGCAATGCACCCGAAGACTGTCCCGAAATGTCTGCAATGCGCCCGAAGACTGCCCGAAATGTCTGCAATGCGCCCGAAGACTGCCCCGAAAAGTCTGCTATGCGCCCTAAGTCTGCCCCGAAATGTCTGCAATGCACCCGAAGACTGCCCCGAAAAGTCTGCAATGCGCCCTAAGTCTGCCCCGAAAAGTCTGCTATGCGCCCTAAGTCTGCCCCGAAAAGTCTGCTATGCGCCCTAAGTCTGCCCCGAAAAGTCTGCTATGCGCCCTAAGTTTACCCCAATTACTCTGCAATGCGCCCTAATTTACTATTATACACTACAGCCTGGTGCACCGCGCCTACGGTTTCGCTTTTAACCCGCAGTCGACAACTAACACTACGTCAATTCTATTACGTACACAGGTTGGTTCAATGAACAGTAAGTTCGCAGCACCTCAACGATTCACGATTTCAGAAAACAGTGGATTTTAATTAGAAATACATTTAACAACATTTTACAAGGAATTTACAATCTTTCGACAAGTCAAATAAGTAAAACATCTTATAAATCCGCCGGAAAAGTCATCCGTGTGCTTTCTGCGTCCGGGATGTTCTCTTTGTTGGTGTCAACGGTCATCTGAAAATGGAAGTTTGAAAAAATAAATACCTACCAAAGGTGAATGCCGTCGCTTTCTTATCCTCGTCTTCAGTCTGTCTCGACTGTTATGGAACCAACGTTGAATGGCAGTCATGGCAGCTTTCACTGCGCTATGTCGGTCACCGGTACCTTTTTGGTGTGAACTATTAACAGTTCCTAGAGAAGCAACAATTAAAAAAAGAATCACCTACGTATCACAAGGGTACACGTCCTCGTATCCTTGAATTGTTTTTTCTCTTTAGTACCAGCCCATGAAAAATGTGTGCTGTATTTGGGCTCCAGCAACACATTCATTATGCGACCAACGGATGTTTGCAAATTGCTGTCTACTAAAGTTGTTAGCTCCGCTGACACAGCATGACGATAGTCGTCGTCTGACAGTTTGGCCTCAAACGCAGACATGACGCTGTCGCTGTCCAACTGCCATCTGCCACAACTCTTCAAAGTCTGAACAGCACTGACACAGGAGATATTGCTGTCCATGCTGTCGACCACTTTCAGTTGTGACAGTTCAGCTTCAACTGCTGAGACACGTGACCGTAAAGCCCTTATCTCTTCCAAACAACCACATGTGCAGGCACATGACTTCTCATTCTTCGTGCACCTGCAAGTAATATTTTTAAATGAAATTGAACTTACATGTCCATGGGGACAGGAATGTTAGCTGTTGAAGTTGAAGGGACACACAACAAACTGAAATGAAAAGTAATGTAAAAGTAAACTGTATTATACCTCTCATTTCTTGCCACAGTGGATGGCTTTCGGAAAGCAGGTGTCTCCAACTGAAATTGTGGGTCAGCCAACAACCGAGATGGGTAGTTGAAGGGAGCAGCGTTCTCCAAAACTTTTTTGGTTGGTTTGGTTACACTGGGAAGATCAGTCAGGAATCATAGCTTACCGGTTTACCCTGCCTTGGCTTGCAGGCTCAGTATCCTCAGATGAGGAGTCCATATTTCGTGTTTGTGAACCTTCAATAAAAATTTTCAAGTTAACTGCCTGCTCGTAATCATCTGAAAAGGAACATTACTAAAAATATGACGTTACTGAATTGTGCCAACAGATTGAACTGGTAAGGCGTGGAACCTACATCAACCTCTGCATGTCTCTTGACATCTGCACACGAATACGACTTTGGGAGCATCAAGACCTTTCCAAGCACCCACTCCTCGCTTACAATCAATACATCATTCAGGGCAGGTACCTTGACTAACAGGAACTGCTTACTCATCTACAAATAATGTACGACTATTACATACGAAAATAGGTACATAGGGAGAAGGGAAGTCTTGCAAGACGTATATTGATATAAGTGTGCGTATTATAATTTAATCAAGTAAATAAAAAAGTAAACTCACTGTTTGCTTGTATCCTTGATAGGGGTTAACTGTGGCTCACTGTAAACTGCAGTACTAAGTAAATCACGACAGTTTAGAGGTGTGCAATATGGAAATTAAAACGGAGTTATGCAAAAGACTCAAGCTAATGCACTTCGCCTGAATTTCACTGAAAGTCCTAATACTTGTCTCACCCTCCAAGTTGTCTACCTGATATATTCCAATATCCCTAGAATCCAGTGGGTGTTCAAAATAACTCTGGGGTTTCTTATAAGCTCGAAATCGAAAATGATTTTCGCTTACAATTTCAGAAACAACTCCAGGTATATTGCCTACCACAAAGGAATTGTTGGGGGGAAATGAGCTTACTTTAAAAGTGGAAAAAGTTGCAGTCTGTTTAGACACATTTACAGATGCATTATTAGTCATCTCTGACTTGGCAGAGTCCCCTTCCACTAAGTATCTTTCTCCTAGACGTTTACCTATTTGGACGGCTGGGTTATTGGGACCTGTAACGAGAGTCTGCAGGAAGCGTATGTTAGACTCAAATGGGAAGCATGAGAAATTGTCTAGTGGTCCGTGCTGTCGTACATCCTCACTAATATGAAGTAAGCCATGGATATTGTACACCATGTTATCATCCCCAAATAATGACTTAAAGTTACCAACGAATTTCAACAATAAGTTTTTTACGTCATCTAGGTAATATGAAGAATAAGTTGGGTGACTTAACATGTAGCATGCCAGGAATAAATCGAAGAAGTTATGATAAAAGCAAGGTGGCAATACGTCTTTCAAGTATACCACTCCTAAATATAAAAGAAACAGTCGGCACTCTGTTGCTTTCCAACGGTCAACGTCCTCTAATGTTCGACACTTACGCTGGAATTCAGAGGGAGTCAACTTATGTGAGCTTAGCAGTCTAGAGTTAATAGTGTTTAAAATAGTATTATTCATACCATCTTCCCTAGCTGTGGCCTTCAATTTCCACAGGCCAATCAACTTGCGAACTACACCTAAGTATATGAGATGCATGCTGTCTAGAGGAAAAACAGTGATCATGTCGACATGCAATTTCTCGAACGGAGATTTACCCTTATGGTGACACTGTAACGTTTGCCTGCGAAAAGACGAGTCAGTTCTTAAAGCGGCACATGTAGTGGGATAAACCATGCGATTGTTTGCACGACGGCATACAGCCTCACATTTATCGCATCCTTGTGTTGAATTGTGACCGCTTATTTGCTTAACTAGTGCTCTCGCTGGTGTGTCACAGATGACACCCTTAAGTACGATGTCAATGCAATGGCTGTTGGGTAATGTGATACCATTAGCACAAATGCATTCTAATTCTACTACAGTGTCCCTCAAAAAAGTGTGTATACTTGAAGGTTTACATGAACCACAGTAGACACCTACCAAGAATACCTTGTCGCAGCCAGACAGAAGTAACTTCCCTTGTATTGGCCACATCTGCAATTTGGAATTGTTGAAAATTTGAGCACCATCAATGTTCAGCTGCAGACCAATTGGCTCTGAGACTTCAGATTTCAGATTTTGTAAGCGAGACAAAATCTGACGACGAAGGCCAATGTGAACATACATCCCAGGACCAACTGCTCTCCGTTGAAAAAAGTCTTCAGTCCTCATCAATGTCCGTGGGCTAGTCGGCAACTCAGGATGCAGGGACTTCAATTCTTCCAGCACAATACGAGTATTTGCCATATTTAGCTTGCATCGGTAGACAATGTTGCGAATAGCGTCAGCTGCAGTGCTCTCGCTGCGGTGAGCTTTCTCAGTTGCAGGCAGTTGTTCAGTCGTTAAGTGTTCCTCCAATAACGGTGGAGATGCAATGGTATCCAAAGGAACATCAACTGGAAGGACTGGAAGGACAAGTTGCTGGGGAGTAACCATGTTTTCTGGCGTAATTTCTGGCTGCGGTTCACTTTCACGACATTTGGAATATAAATCTGTGTACATTAATTTGAAATAACAAGCTTACCTTCTAAATGCTTCTTCCACTCCAGTCTGCATTTCTTGAGACGTCTGTAATACATTGACTTATATCGGCTGAAGTCAAAGTTAAGTTTCGCTGCTTCGTCACAGAAGATTGATAAATGCAACTTACGTAGTCTCAAATACGCCCGGCGTTGTGGTTCCACAACAGCTGGTGTTATGCTGTCATTTACGTTATTTAGTGTATTGGTCATGGTTGACGGAGAACCCGTGAAGCTCATTTTACCTATAATAGATCAGAAAAAATTAAAGAAACTGATTTCTGCAGTCTACACTGATTATATGCTATGTTTAATAATAAAATTGGGCAGCACTGTGTAGTAGTCGTAATATTAAACACATAAATATGCAATTAATTGCTTCAAAAAATGGGTAAACTAGGAGGTTGGCAAGCAGGCAGTGAACTCACCGCAGTGGAAAAACAAACTGAGAAATCAACCGCTTCCAAGGATTCTAGTCCAGTAAAAGACTTCTGATGAAGTGTTCCATTATGATGTATTCAGATAGTAAATATTATGTTTAATTGATTGCTCATATTAAATGGGTATATAATTTCAATTTATATATTACTAATCACTAATTCAGATTCATTGTAACGCAGTTTAGTAAAGTTAGCTGTCATTGGTTGATGAAGTACATATGGGTTACTCCCATTGGTTGATTTGTAGCCAATCAACGGTAATAAGAACGGCCCAAAAAATCTGCAGTGCGCCCTAAGTTAAAGTCGGAATAGCAAATGTGCCCTAAGTATGCCCCGAAAAGTCTGCAATGCACCCGATGCCTGCCCCGAAAAGTCTTCAATGCGCCCGAAGTGCCCCAAAAAATCTGCAATGCGCCCGAGGTCTGCCCCAAAAAGTCTGCAATGCGCCCAAAAAATTGCTAGCTGGGAAATGTTGGGTTGTTCGACCTCGACCAGGAGGTGAATAGAAGATTACGCTCAGCAGGGAGATAAAGTATGTAAATATGAAAAGAACTTTATTATTTTATGTATATATAAATGTTTATAAATGTATATCATTGTATAGTAAACACTACCCATAATCTAGTTGTTTTTTTATGTAATTTTGCGAAGTCTTAGAGTTTATTTAGTGTCGTAATATTTAGTAATGAGTCTAGGCGTTATAGTGTGCTAATAGCTCATGCGTTTTGGAAATAAGTGGTGCGGTGTGATTGGCATAGTCATTGGGATGAAGCAGTTTATATAGCAAGCGTTTGAAGGTTATGATGGAGTGACAGGTCCTTATTTCTAGGGGTAAACTGTTCCAGATCTTAGAGTACATGACTATGAAGAAGTTTGCACGGAGTGCTGTCTTACAGTTTTTCCTAGATACTTTGCACGTTTGGTTACGAAGGTTGTAAGAGCCTTCCGGTGAGAACTGTATCTCTTTGCTGTCTGAGAATGATATTTTATGCAATATTTTAAAGAAGAATGTTAGGTTAATGCTCAGTCGTCTCATCCAGAGTGGGTCGATACCTAGAGTTATACACCTTGATGTGTAGTCCTTTTCGCAGTCAAATCCTAGTAGTTTAGACGTGAAGTATCGTTGGACACTTTCTATTTTAAGTTTGTCACTTACGCGAGTGCTGCTGAGAATAAATGGACAATATTCAAGTAGTGGTCTGACACAAGTTTTATATAATAATAGCTTCGCCTCGTAGTTGTGGAAATTCCTGAGTATGCATCCTAGAAGCATCCTCGATTTACGCGTCTGTGTAGCCACTTGCTCAGAAAATGTCAAGTCACTAGAGTACCTGAGTCCTAGGTCAACAACACTTTGAAGTTTAGGCAAGTCGATAGATTCAAGTACCAGTTTAATATTTATTGAGGGTGCACCGAAACAGATCCAACCACATTTTCTAAGGTTGAATTTTAGGTTCCATGTGGAGGACCATGCGGCTACTCGATCTAGTTCTTCCTGAACAGCTTTCTGAAAGTACCCTAAGTCATCACAGTGGAATGTGTAAGCTACTTTAAGATCATCTGCAAAGATGAATGGTTTGCCAAGTGAGAAACAGCTGCATATGTCGTTGACATATAGAGTGAATAGGAGGGGGCCTAAGACGCTACCTTGAACTACTCCAGAAGTGACTGGACTAGGTTTAGAGTTTACAGAACCCAGTCTAACTACTTGGGACCTATTGTTAAGGAATGATTCAATCCATCCTAATAATGGGTTACTTATTCCTAAGGAGTTTAGCTTATTTATTAGAAGCAAATGGTCAACGCGGTCAAAGGCTTTGGATATGTCGAAGTAGATGACTAGTACTAGTTGTTGTTTGTCTCGGCTGCTAGTTATGTAGTTAAAGAAGTCAACGTGACATGTCATGCATGATCTGGATTTTAGGAATCCATGTTGGTTGGGACTTAGAATATTGCAGCTGAGCATATGTTTGAGGATATCATCTTTAACTATTCGTTCAATGATTCTAGATACTATGGGTGTAATATTGATTGGCCTATAGTTGTTGACTTCAGTTTTTGATCCGGATTTGTGTTTAGGTACTATAAATGTCGTTTTCCATTTATCTGGATAGGTTTGGCTTTCTAGGGACATTGTAAAATTCTTAAGTAATAAAACGGAAATGTCAGAACCACCGTGTTTATAAAGATACGATGGTATACCGTCAAAACCGGCACTACTAGAGTTTTTAAGAGTATTACCGGCTTGGTTAATATAAGAGTAAGTGAAATGAACTGTAGTGATTTGTTTCAGCGTTGAAGATGAAGGGAGTTCTATTTTAGATTGTAAACCGAGAAGTGGACTTGTAGGCTTAAGGTAGTTAGCTGCAAACGTCTCATTAAACAGTTCACACATGTCTGCATGGTTGCTGTATAGTTTGCCCTTGTTTATAAGGAGAGAGATTTTATGGCTTTGGCGATTCATTCGTTTCTTTAGTATTTCTGTGAGAGCACCTACTCTGGTGGTGCTGGCTAGTGCCGTGCATTCTTCATTTCTCATACGCAAGTTATGAGCTTGCGAGATGGAGCTAAGAGTACTAAGTATTGACCCTAGTGTACTAAAGTCGTGTTGCCTGAAGTAACTTGTTGAGAGTTTCTTCAGTTTCCTACGATCCTTTGGTTTTGTTAATGACTTCCTATGTGGGGAAAGCTCAAGTGTTTGGAGTGGAATGACAGCATCTAAGCATGTGTTGGAGTTATGGTAGAAGATGCTCAGAGCTCGCGAGAGGTCATCAGTAGTGAAGTACTCTCTCCATTCTGAGGTTCTTAACGTTGATTTCACTAGAGTCCAGTCTGCCTTACTGTAGTTCCTGTAAGTTATTTGTTGTGAAGTAGGGGTATGGGTTGCATTGCTACTTGACGGAAGTGGCCGTGCACACAGCACTGTTTTGTGGTCACTCCCTGAAAACTCAGAACCTACTGGGGTAGAAAGGGGACTTATATTGTGGCAGAAGATTAAGTCTAGTACGTTATTACCTCTTGTATGGGTTGTGACGGTCTGCTTCCAGCCAAGTATATCCAATGTGCCTAAGAACTTATCAAGTTTAGTTGGACCTGTGGGTATTTCCCAGTTGATTTCTGGTAAGTTAAAGTCTCCACATAGGATCTTATGATCGTAGTGGAGGGTGGATAATTGTTCTAGAGTATTAATAAGTTGGGTCTCTTAATTACTAAAGGTGCCAGGTGCTCTGTAGGTGCATCCAATTAATACTATTGCGTTATTTAAGTGTAAGTTAACCCATAAAGTCTCAGGCATGTTAAGTGTACTACTTTCTAGCTGTGATACAGTAAGTGTATTCAGAAAGTACATGAGACAACCCCCTCCCTTACCACCTTCCCTGTCACACCGAAAGTGTGTATAGTTATCTAAGCTTATCTCTTCATCCGATTATATATATATTTATTCCTGTTTATGCAGGAACATACCAATTGTACAGGCATGGATAAGTTATTATATAAATTATAGATTGTTTGTTCAATCTAACATTAGAGTCAGTCAGAAGAGTCTGCAAAATAGTCTGTCTGTGTAACACACAAAGAGATATAGAAATATTGTCTTCGAATTAACAAAAAACCCAGACTTCAGATGAATGTGATACAAATATCTGGGAAAAATAAAGCTTGAAGTCAATTCTCCTATATAACTTTGTTGTGAACAGCATCCTTGAGATAAAGTTTATTGATGTATTATTTTGAGTCAATAATGTATTTATTCCATTTTTGTCAGCAGTCTTATCGTAGTTTTATAATAGGAAAGAAATTTGATACGAAAATTAGATAAGGTAATGTTAGATTGTTTTACTGCATCAAATGGGGTCAATTCTAGAACTATCCATTTGCGCCATTTGCGTCAGCATGGCAGACTGTACATGTAAGTTGAGTAATACATTGAAACTGCTTGAAAACCATTTGTTTCTTTATATCAGATCAAGAATACTCCTTGTACAGAATGTTAGCCAGCGTTTTCAAGTGGTTGCATCGGATCGTTCATGGAATTTGAGTTTGAATTTACATAAATGGTCATTTCAGTTTGGATGTTGGGTTGCTCGACCTCAACCAGGAGGTATATAGAAGCTTACGCTCAGCAGGGAGATAAAGTATGTAAATATGAAAAGAACTTTATTATTTTATGTATATATAAATGTTTATAAATGTATATCATTGTATAGTAAACACTACCCATAATCTAGTTGTTTTTTTATGTAATTTTGCGAAGTCTTAGAGTTTATTTAGTGTCGTAATATTTAGTAATGAGTCTAGGCGTTATAGTGTGCTAATAGCTCATGCGTTTTGGAAATAAGTGGTGCGGTGTGATTGGCATAGTCATTGGGATGAAGCAGTTTATATAGCAAGCGTTTGAAGGTTATGATGGAGTGACAGGTCCTTATTTCTAGGGGTAAACTGTTCCAGATCTTAGAGTACATGACTATGAAGAAGTTTGCACGGAGTGCTGTCTTACAGTTTTTCCTAGATACTTTGCACGTTTGGTTACGAAGGTTGTAAGAGCCTTCCGGTGAGAACTGTATCTCTTTGCTGTCTGAGAATGATATTTTATGCAATATTTTAAAGAAGAATGTTAGGTTAATGCTCAGTCGTCTCATCCAGAGTGGGTCGATACCTAGAGTTATACACCTTGATGTGTAGTCCTTTTCGCAGTCAAATCCTAGTAGTTTAGACGTGAAGTATCGTTGGAC